TTAAAGTATGAAAAATGCTTCTTTCAAAGAGAAAAAAATGTTTACTTAACACTGCTTAGAGCCACTTAATAGAAATAAATTAAGTAGAGCAACGTAGACCAGCTTTATTCAATAAAATTGTTACCCTAGGTGTAGATGAGTACTTTGAAGATTTAATTCCTAGTTACCAACCCCACCACCATACACTACTCTTGAAAATGCAGAATTTTTACTATTAATTTTACTTTTTTAGCTGAGCCATCCTGCCACCTATTGGTAGCTTAACTAGGGCTGGGAACTGAACCGGCGACCCTGTTGCTCAGAGCGCACACTCTTGAGCGAGCTCTTAACCAACTGAGCCACTCGGCCGGCCCCTTAATTTTACTGTTTACAATTGGCCACAGGTTTGATGAGTAGAAATAAGAAATCAAGGACAAAGGAATAAAATTTCTATTCCATTCCCCCTCCAAAAGAGATAAATGCTTACTGAGAAACTACTAAAAGCTGTTTTATGTATATGTTAAAAAATATATTTACTACAAAATATGTATTATGCTCATTTTACAGAAGACACTTTCCTTAGAGCCAGAAATTAAATTTAGTTGTTTTAAAACATGGTTTTAAAAGTTAAAGTAACACTTATTTTAAAATTTTAGAATGCAAATAAACAATAAAATCAAACATAACTTCATGAAAAAAGGGTTTAAATTGAAAGTAACTTCATGGGTGACCTGATCATAAATTCCTAACTGGGCAGTTCATGGTGGGTAGTCACACCTCAGGCATATAACTTTTTTAGTGAAAAGGTTTATCTTTGCCTTAAGCAAGCCCTGTCCATCGTTGTACATCTAGGTTAATACACCTTTTAAATGTCTCTTTTTTAAACCCCTCAGAAGCATAACCACTCTGAAGACAGCACTCTTAACTATCCTGTAATCCAGTCCCACCTTGCATCCGCTCAGCTTCATGTAATCTATGTTCCCTCCTTAGTTTCAAATGTATAAAAGAAATTGGAAAACCGTCATTCTCGAGAGCATTTGAGATCTAGCTTCCCAAAAATTGTATTTTGGCTCAAAAAAGTTCTGTACAGGTTTGGACGTTTCTTACATCGACATATGGTATATTATATATGTATGCATTCATATTTATACAAACCTACATATCTTAAAATATGCAGATATATGAATCATTGTTTACAAAATAGTTTGGTTTCCTGCTATTTTCACTTAACACACCAGGAATCTCTCCATGCACTTACATAGTTCACTGTCTTTTTTAGAAAAGCTGCATGCTATTCTGTTAAATAACTGTACTGTACTTTACACCAATTAACCAATCTTCTCTTACTGTGTACATCGTGTCCAATTTTGTGCCACAGTAAACAGCATTGTAATGAATATTACTACACCTAAATCTAGTGCAGATCCTTATTTTCTTAAGACAAATTCCTAGTAGTGAAATTGCCTATAAAACATGTTAATTTTTAAATTATATACCAGTTTGTATTTGAATCATGGGGCTTCTTTTCTGAAAATGCAATATAAAGTTTAAATATCTTTTTGAAACATAAAGGGCCTGAGTCGCTGTCCTTTAAGACTACTTTCAGCTCTGACATGCTCTGATTAACTGTGGATTTTATACAAATATAGTAGTTAATGCTAGTCTTTATTTGTGGGTAAATGAAAACCCTGTCTAATGAGCATGAACAGTGTTATCTTTTCCTAGGGCTAATCGTATGCCCTTTTATTTGAAGTCTTAGAAAAGCATAGGCTACTCTAATACATGTATCTTTTGGCTCTCTGAAATACATGAGATGAAATATAGCTTGAATAACAGTGTAGATAATGTAGCGGAGACAGAATCATGCTCACTACTAATTCCCTGCCAAATGCTCGGCTACTTAGCGGAAAATTGATTTTTAATAACATAATGAAAGTGTACCCTAACCTACTCTATTGACATTGAAAATGTCATTCTCTTAGGCAGCACTTCTGGGCCTTACATAAAAAGCCCTTTGCTATGTATCCTAGGATTATACACCTTTTTCTGAGACACCAAGAACGTATAAAAACACTGGGTTCCTTAAGGAATTAGATAACTAAAAAAGTGCATTTACTTGGGAGGAGAAATTACTTCTCACATTTAATGACCTTTATGAAGGGCTATATTGTAACTCAATGTGCAAAAACAACAAAACAAAACAAAACAAAAAAAACCCCTGGGTTCTGAAAATTATGGCACCTCTCCTTTATGGTGATAATTAAGCTTTCTCTGGAGTATTTTTGAAATGTTTAGATGAACACAAGCATAAACAAAACAGACCTTACAGAGTCTTTGGATGACAGGAATAAAGTCAATTAGCTACAAAATGCTGAAAGGAGTAAGATTGTGTAAGATTTCAAGGTAATTTGCAGATTCAAAAGAACCCATGATTTTGTTTCCTTTCAACTTATGGATTATAGAAGCATACAATTTCAAATACTTATCACTCATTATCCATATTATAAAAATTAAATCACTTACTTTTTAAAGGTATAGGTCATATTTGTTTTTTTTTTTAAACACTATTTTGAAAATGTAAGTTCAGTGAAAATATACAATTAGTTTCTTAATTCAAAAGACTTATTTATAATTCTAGGTAATATGCATTTAATATTTATTGATGATCACTGAGAGATCAAGGCAAGTGACCGAAACAAACAGAATCTCATGATCTAAATGAGTAATTCTCAAATTAGGGGGTTTGGAAAAGAAAATAATATCCAAAGGGCCCCGTGGCTTGAAAAAAAATATTCACTATGCTTTTCTTTTCACTATTACTTTTCTGAAACTACAGAAAGCAAGTCTCAAATTCTTGGCTTATGAAAATATACACGTGAAAAGGTACATATTCTATTAATTATAAAACTATAAGTGCTAAATTTTTGTCAATGATGTAATAAATGCTACCATTTAGATTGCTATTCACAGTATATCATAATATGACAAAAATGTTTGATTTCCTCCCATTAAAAAGTAAAATAACCATTTGGTGACCATGAGAGTAATAACTGATTCAGGCAAGAATTAGCAATGAATGCTAAAACTAGTGGATGAGAGTTGAAACAAGTTATTTAGAGTATCCCCCAAGTTACTTATTATTTCCAAAGGGAAAAGTAGTAATGTTATGTTGAGGGCACTGTGTATTGTTTCCTGCAAATAGGTAAATATATTATGATGTTGTGAACCAGGGTATTTGCTTATTTAAGCAAAAATTATAACACTGTCTTGGAAGTTAGCAATGTATACAGATATATGTGTCAACTCAAAGGATGGGGAGAGGATAAACGGACTGACATAATTGCAAGGTTTCTATATTTTATATTAAATGGTACAATATTAACTCCAAGTGGACCGTGAAAGTTAAGGACTTGTCAAAACAGATGCAAAAAAACAAGACCCAACTATTTAGTGCCTGCAAATTCATGCAATTTATATATAAGACACAAGTTAAAAGTAAATTGACAGAAAAAGATATACCAGGCTAACAGAAAACATAAAGGCTGGAGTGGCTATAGTAATATCAAGACAAAGATTACCAAAGATAGAGACATACTTCTTAATGATAAAAGGGTCAATTAGACAGAAAGGTCCAATAGCAAAGTTCCAACTGTTTTTATAAATAAAGTTTGTACTGGAAAGGCTATGACACTGGACAGCCATGCTAATTTATGTATGTTCTGTTTATGGCTGCTTTTATGCTATGTTGGCAGATGTAAAAGGAACTGTGTTATTTAATGTACACTTGAATATAAATTTTTCTCAGCAAAATTTTTAGAGAATTTAAGTAATTTTAATATAATGATGCACTTACTTCATTTTGTTTTATCCATTGGGAAATGGGTATACACACACATAGAAATCATTTGTAAATCTCTGACTATGGTGGTGGTTCAAGTTTGCTTAAAATAATTTTAAAAAAAACACTTTTTTTTTTTAAATCCGAGGTTCACAGAAACAAACAGCAAAAAAAAAAAAAGTACACTACACAGTAAGGTTAAGAAAAACAATCGGAATACTATGGAAGATGCTATTAAAAAAACAAACAAAACAAAAAACCAGGAAAAGTGAAGAATGATGATTAGTACTCACTTTTAAAACTAAGTACAGCTTTTTCCTTGTAGACAGAATAGATCAGAAACAGGTTAAAACTGTATTAACAAAAGGCTGTTAAAAAATATATGGAGTCTCTGTCTATAGAGGTTTTTAAGAATAGGCAAATTGAGTGGTTAAATAAATGCATACTTGCCAGAATGGTCTAGATCTGCACTGTCCAGTGGGATGGCAATTAAAATTAAAATTAAATAATATTAAAAATTCAATTCTCCGGCTACAGTAGCCACATTTTATGTGCTAAATAAGAGCCACACGTGGCTAAAGGCTAGGAAAATAAACAGTGTAGACAAAGGACATTTCCATCATTACCAAAAGCTCTGTTAGGCAGCACTGGGCTAGGTGTCTTGAGTGTCTAAGTTATAAAGGTACTTTGATTTTCCCTAGAGCTTTTGGTTCATTTATTTATTTGTTTTACAAAACTTTTTGTTTTTTTATTTTACAGAGCCTTTTGTTCTTCAGACTTATGTATCCATTTAAATATTTTTTTCATAGTAAATTGAAAATGCCTGCAGTTTTACAAAATAAATAGAATGTACTCTTTATAGAATAGCAATTTAAAATGTCCTACTTTGCACAATGCTTTTAAAAAATCTGCATAACTGAACAAAATGCATACAGATATATATAACTATTATAGTTTGGTATTATTTAATGTAATTAGTGAATTACAAAAATATATTTATGTTTAATTTCTAAACATAAATTCAGATATACTATAATTGAAAGACAGAAACCTAAGTTCACCTAAGTCAAATGGAGATATAAATAGCAAAGAAAACACCAAGTAAAATTAATATGTAATAGTATAGCAATAAAATCAACCAAAATATTGATATAAAAACTCTTCTTAAACACTGCTTGGAACATTTGATTCAAATGAAGAGTACTGAAAAATTCCCTTGTATTAAAGAGATACATGAAAAATATGTAACCTATACTTTAAATTAAATGGCCCAATTAAAAACTATTTAAATGAAAGACAATACATTAAATAAAATTCACATAGAATTAACAACAAATAAATCTCTGAATATGTAAGGAAGGAGAGAATCCAAGTTATCCTTATGGAAATGAAAAGAAATACATAATTGACTGAAGTGATATGGGCGGGCCAATATGCACCATTTTAAAAACAGTAAAACTATTGTAAAACTATCATATAAATAATACCACGTTATTAGCTTTTTATGTGACAAACAACACAGTCATTTAACACATCAGCTATATTCTAATTTGTATACATTATTTCTTTTATATTCATTGAATTTGTATCAAATTTAGAACTTACACCATGCATCTTATTGCATTTTAAATAAAGTAATAAAATTATTTTAAATTCACTGATATTTTCTTGTGTGGTACTTTAGAGAAAAACCTCTCTGGCAATATTATGAATTGTCTCTTTTTACTAATTGCATTTTCAACTTATTAATCTTTAGGATTGACTGTTAACAAAAAAAGTTTAATTTTAAAATCTAAATGAAAATAAACAATCAGAAGAGAGTGGAAAGCAACCAAGGAAAAGTAAAAACTTTAGAAAAAACAATAATGGAGGTTAAGAATATTCTAATATAAGAACCAAAAACGTTAAGCAATAAAAGCCAGAAATAGGAAGTAAAACTTTAAGACCATATAAAAACGTGTATCAGATCAGGTTCTTTACTAAATTAATAATTAGATAATAATTCTCTATTCTTTTGGAGTCACAAAATACTGTCCCTACCCCACCTCCCCCAGAAGATAAATACATAATGTCTATATACTGAGATTCACAGTTTCTGGATTTATTTTTCCACCACTTAAACTGTGGATCATTGCTATCATATGAGAGTGTTTGTTCAACTCCTCTTGCTGAAGTTTCACCAGAGACTCTTTCTCTTCCAATCGACCTTCTAATTGGGCCTTCTGAACCTCTAGGGAAGAAGCCTGAGAAATTGGGGGGGAGGGAGAAGAGGAAAACAAACAAACAACTTAGCATATTTTCTCTTCTCAGATATTTTAAGATGTCCTTAGATTTTATTTGTAAGACAACCATTTCAAAAGACATTACAAATATATATTATATTTTAGTTAGCTTAATTATATGGTAGGTTTAAGACAAGTAATCATTAAACAATACAATATAAATTGGGAAGGCATGTTCGATTTGTCTTTTTAAGTCAATGCTAGCAGCTGAAATTCTGTAGAAATTACAGTACTACATATTGCCATTTAGAATTACTATTAAGATAACCACATTAAAGCAGAACCAGGAAATCTGTAAACGTGGCATGGAATCTGTTGCCTCTACCATCACTTATGCTCTGTAGTTGTTCAAACAGTCTTTTAATCCGGGTCTGTTCTCATCTTCCTGGTAGTATATGGGCCAGAAAGCCCTATTCACAGCTACCACACTCAAGCAACCACGATAATGTAGAAAGAGCAATGGATTTAGATTCAGAATATGTTAAGTCTACTGTTCCACTTGGCTATGTGACTATCCTTGATCAAGTAACACAACCCAGTTTCATTTGTAGGTTGACAATAATTAACAGTAATATATTAACATATTTGTTAAAGAGAGAAGGATTAAGATGAATGTTTTGAAGAGCCCTTTGCAAATTATAAAGTTCTAAATAAATGTGAACTACTATTATTATTACCATCCCTATAAGCAAAGAGGCAGTTATATACCGATATACAGCTACTTGTATGTGAACATCAAGAAGTGGAACCCTTTTCTGTATCCCTTGCCCACTTAAAAGCAGATAAGTGCTGGCACACAGTATATATTTAATAAATGTTTGATTTTAGTAAATGCATATTTTCACATTGTGAGAAAGTCCTCATAACAAACAATCATTAAACCACTTTCAGAACCTAATATTTTCTAAACAAAATTACTAAAGATACAGAACATTAATTTATCCAAATTCACCTTTTTCACAAAATAAGACTTTCATTTTACTGCAAATGAAAACTCAACAGAATCTTACCTTAATACTCAATTCTTTCCTTATCTGTTCTGTTCTGGTTAATTCTTTTCTAAGGATATCAATGGTTTCTTCCTTATCTTCCCTTTCTTTCTGTAAGACTTTAATCTTTTCTTCTTGTACTTTTGTTTTTTGTTGCAAGTCTTAAAACAAACAAACAAGCAGTCAGCTATATGCTCAGAGACCCTGAAAAGCATTAGTAGCTATAATGTCAGAAGAGCAAAAGAAAGACAACAAGTAACGTGAAGAAATGTCTTGCTGAAAATAAGTTTTACACTATTTGGTGAATAAAAGCCACCATGAAACTCTTCCACTATACCAATATTCTACAGAAACAACCAAATCTCCATGTCTTACCCTCTTCCTCTGTTCTAAATATAATATAGTAATGAGGTGAAGGACAAACCACAGAGCTTAAGGGTTAGAAGAGAAAGGGAGAGAGAAAACGATGAAAAATTATGTAGGTAGATGATGTCTGTGCTCTAAGGCAAGTGAGTTAGAATAAAAATGTTTTTGTGGATCATTTCAGAGCTACTATTATAAAGAAGTTAGTAACTAAAAGTTACCTAGCACTGCCACCTGCTGTTACATTCCTTTAAAATGTTTTATTTGAAAAACGGCAATAAGCAAATAAACAAAAAGGCAATCATTTCCTGCAACTCCCAGTTTTTAAAATCAATCTAACTAAACTGCAATGTGAAATGTTATGATAAGAAAAGGAGAGCTATTTAGGATGTGATTTAAGGTTTTAAACTAACAAAAAGCCAAAATAAAAACCACTCATGCTTTGATTTTCTTACAACACAAGGCATGTTAAAGTATAAACAATAAATAAGAAGATACTTACTTGCTAGTTTACATTCTCTGTCTACTAGTTGGTTGTGTATTTCTTTTCTCTGTTCTTCTCGCTCTATTAATTGGGCAACAGTTCTGCAGTTATAAAAAAAAAAAGGAAACATCAATGAATCATATCATTTCTTTTTCTCCTCACAAGTATTTTAAGAGAAAATTCCTAAGAATAGTAATTACCCTTAAATTCTGCCAAAATGTTTTATGTCTAAAATAAGTAAAAGTTCTATTAATTTTATCTGTAACAAAACAATGTTATCAAGGAAATTGCTTTGTTTTAGAAAATTCCAAAATAATTAGAATAAAGAACTAGAGATTTTACTTTTCATTTTGTTGCTTGAGTGACTCATTCAACTTTTTCACTGTCTCAATTTGTTTATTCAAAGAATCACATGTGATCTGTAAATCTTTATTCTTCTTTTCAGTAGTTTCATTCCTGAAAAGACAAGGAGATGAGTTGGTATTTTTACGGAGGAAAACAAATGAGAAAAGAAACTCAGTTTTCTTTACTCTTTCTTCTAATCAAATTGCATCCCCTGCAGGTAAGAGAAGGAATGTTATGAACAAGCAGAACATAAACAGTTAGATTAACTCTAAAAGACAGTAAGGACATGTTTTGGCTGACTGAGGTGATAAAAATTGCTAAGAAATGGAAATGTGCGGGGCATTAACCTCCTATTTATGGATATAGAGCTTTATTTTACAGAGTGCACTGCATTACATAATTTGCTATAAAATACATACAGCTCTCTTTATAGTTAGGTCCAGAAACTGAAACAACTTCCGTAAAAGTCTGTCATCATTAACCTTTTGAGCACAATATATGTCTAAATAATCAAATTAATGAATAAAGTAGTTGAGGATTCTAAATTTCTCTTGCCTCTTTAAAGCGCTGCATCGAATAGTCATACTTATTTTACCTGCAAAGTAAACAAAGAAAGAATCCTTTCTAAAGTGATACTCTGACATCCAACTATCTTAAGTGTGAAAAGTTTTTTAAAGATAGAGCTAGGGCAGCCATTCCAGAGGAACTGCATTGCACATCTTATTCCTCAAACCTCTGGAATGCGTGAACTGGACAAAATAACATTTGGACTGGCCGCACCAACACTGTATTTCAAACAACTCTGCAAAGCTAACAAGAAAGTCGGCAGCCTGACTACCGAACTGAAAGTTAAAGATGTTCTTTAGAATGACTGCCACCATGTATAGGTAAACACTAACTTAGCTTACCTGCACCTATAGAAATTCCCTCTTTCCATCCATGAAATTCTTTCCCTTCCTCTTCTCATAAATACCCCTTGCCTGACTCCCTAACTGGGAAGACCATTTGGGTTTCTGCCTGAATCAGTGCTTCCCTAAGAGCTATTCTTTGTATCACAAAGCTTGTTGCCTTTCAGTTCTTTCTGTTGTTGTTATTGCCTTTCACTTTGGCATTTTATTTTTAGGTTAACGTAAGCATAATGTGTCCTTTTCACTTTACTAAGTACTAAGATAAACAAACTAGCAGCACTAGCCAAATGTGACCAGAAGTGTTTTCTCTGTCCCACACAGTTTTTTTTTTTTTATATCTAAAATGTGAATTTCTTCAGATAGTCCCCAACATTACAGATGAGCTTTCCCCATCAACTTCATTTACTTGTTACCCACCTGGCCCCTCAAAGCAGGAGTTTTACTTCTTGGCTACTCAATCACTACCTGGAACATCAGCAGGTCTGAGAAACCACAGGTTTCTCTGGCACCAGTTAATTACTCTCTCTTACACCTTAACTTAACACTAATAGTTCATTTTATCAGAGCTGCCTCAAACAATCAGACTTTGGAAAAGGTTGTTGTTGGGGGAAAATATCCAGTTTAGAAATCACCATGTCATTACACATCTTCTAGATGTTATACATTTTCCACCCTTCATTTTTGTTGATGGGCAAATAAGAACATGGATCTCACAAAGTTAAGATTTTCTCTCTATATATATTAACAGCATAGAACAGCAAAATTTTTTTCAAATCTTAACCAATCTTAAAATATAAGTTAAAACAAGGAACTATTTAACTAGAGTGCTTTCATTGGTCCTGGTCTTCTTTATAATTCAGAGGTTTTAAGACAGGCCTAAAAGATAAAAAAAGTTTGACAAGGGAGGGAAAAACTATCAATCTCATACTTGACATAAATTGGTATAGCCTTTTTAGAGGGAAACTGGGCAATCTATCAAAAATTTAAAAACACATGCCCTTTAACCCAGCAATTCACCTATAAGAATTTATTCTACAGATACAGTCACATATATAAGTAAACTATATTCAGTGACACGAAGGAGATATACTGACTACATATTCTGAGATGAGTTAAATACTAATACTCAAATTTCCATGCTATTAGTATGATGCTGAATGATACGAAAGTGTTACTATTCAACCATGTTTGATCTGAAGAAATTGCCAATTCATATGGTTAAACCTAATACAAACTGTGACAACTAAGGTCATTCAGCATTATTTACAGTGCCTAACTACATACCAAGCACTGCTCTAGGCCCTAGGAATCTGTCAGTGAACAAAACAGATGAAACTTGCCCTTGTGGTGCTACCATCCTAGGTGACTGTTGACTACATGACAAATGAAAGCAGTGGAGTCAACTAGAAGGAGATAGAGACCTGTATTCTGTTCCCAACTTTGATACTGAGTTTAAGTAATACTTCATTTCACTATGACATAGGTTTCTACTTATCTTATGGTATTATCAGAATATATGGGGGTGCCAAAATATGTATACACATTTTAAGAAAGAAAAGCCGTATTAAAATTGTAATACTCAATATATACCGGTAACAAAAGATGAATACAAGTCACATTTGACTTCTGCAATTACAAGAGGTGCTCAAACTGGTTACCATCAGCATCCAGACACTTCTGATTATGATGAACTACTGCTTGAGCAACGTGATCTAAGTGTCCACTTGTATACATTTTTTTGGCACCCCCGGTATGTATACTTACAAAAGCATTTTAGTCACAGAAAAGCAATGCTGTGTGTTCACTCCAGATTCTAACCTTACAGAGAAACTTTTACTTTATTTACCTCTGAAGAAGTTCCATGTAGGATTTTGTTAGTACTTCATGTTCTTCAGCCACAGACTGTAACTTCCTATTATGTTGAAAGAGATGCTCAATATCACTCTGGGCTCTTTCTGATTCAATCTGCTGTGACTTTAGCAACACACTAAGCTCTTCGTTTTTTCTCTCAACTTCTCTCAACATACCAGCCAGTGTCCGTGCCTAAAAGAAAATGGAATAGAGAACTTTTCCATTATCATATATATAATATGCTCAGTTTCCAGAATTTAAAAGATTTACCAAATATCCAATAGGCTAGCATCTACTGGGTTATATAAAGGTTTATTAGTCATAATATACTTATTACATAACTACTTCTAATGAATCTGACATTGTTATAGTTTAACTTAATAGATTGTTCTGAAAAATCAATCTTAGACCAGATTCATGGAAATGAACACAAATATAAAACATGAAGATAGATCTACATACATACAATACTCAATTAAAAAGGTATGATCCTTGGGGCTAGTCATCAACACTAAACCACAAAGTTTGCATACATCAGTTTTCCGATTTCAGGTAAGAATTAAGAGTAAGATCTTAACTATATTACAGATGCTTAAGTAATGCTTAAAATTAAGTTAGAACAATCAGCAAACCTAGATTCAATATGAAAGTATTTGTGACATGAAATATTAAAGAAACAAGAAAGTAACTACCCCGTTTCCCCCAAAATAAGCCCTCACATGATTTTAGATGCCAAAATATGGCCCCTTGATATACTGAATATTTTAAGCTGAAGGAGTTTGTGGAAAAGGCACCCTTCTCCCTGAAACAGGTCATAAAACCTCAAGTGAGGGGTGCGTGCCCTCCATATCCTGGAAGAATCATGCTAGGGCTTCTTCTCCAGCTAGGTCTTATTTTCAGGGAACTACGGTAGAATAAAAAGTGGACTTTCCTGCCTTCTTTTGCCACCCAAAATACTGCTTATTTTGAAATGCCAGATTAAAACCTAAGCCCTTCTGTTATTATGACAGAGTCTGTAAAGCAGTAATATCCAATTATTTATAAAAAGCCTTTTCAATAATATAGATAAAACTAAATTCTCCAATAAAATGTAAGACAAAACCAATTAACATAGAATATAAGAATGTGCTATGAGAAGGGAGAGAAAAAAATGATTTTAATATCACTAATTTTCTGTATTGGAATTTATAATAAATTCAACATACCATCAGTTAACAATTAAGACAAATGAATTGATGTTAAAATAATAAAAAAGGAAAAAAAATGGTTATTTTTTTTAGAATACCTTTACTGTGAAGATTTAAAAGGTATTTTACTTGTCACTAGTATTAATGCGTCTTTCAAAAGTCAAACAACTTTACTATAATTCATTACAAAATTCTCACTCATGTGTACATTATGTACACATACATACAGAGTACAGTACCACACTTTCCGAGCACCTACCACGTGCAAAGTCAAGTACTGTGCTGGGGGTGTGGAGATTCAGAAACAGACTCCGACTTCAAGGGTGGGGGTGGGGTCATACAAATTATACATGGTGTAAGAAGTACTATGTGGATGAAAAAGGGGTTCTGCAATACATCTGACAAGTTCAGTGACTGAAAGTATCCCAACAGGGTGATCTGATTATAAATTCTTAACTGAGCAGGTCATGGTGGATAGTTATGCCCCAGGCATATAACTTCTTTAGTAAAAGGTTTATCTTTGCCTTAAGCAAACTCTGTCCATTGCTCTTGTGCATCTAGGTTAACACATCTTTGAAATGCCTGATTAATGTTCTTTTTTCAGAACTGTCCAGGCATAACCGCTCAGAAGGGAGCACAGGACCTTGTTAACGATCCTGCACTTTGTTTTCTACCATCTTCATGAATCTTCCTTATGTTTTCCTTATGTTAAAGTTATAAAAGAAACTGCAAATCTGTCATTTTCCAGAGCATTTGAGATCTTGTCGTCAGTTTGGCACAGATAAATTCTTCTAAAAATTATATACAGGTTAGGTGTTTCTTATGTCGATAGTTATAAAGAGGTAAGCACAAGGAAAGATCTACAGAGGAAGAATCAACAAACGTGTGGGAAGGAGAAGACCAGAGAAAGCTTACTGGGAAGTGAAGGTATTTAAATTAAAGTCTAAAGGATTATTAAGAATTAGAGAGGAAAAGGTGTTCAGACATGGAAGAACAAGTGCAAGGACAGGGAAACATAAGAGTATGTCAAGTTTCAGAAACTGCAAAGTAATCTAATATGGTTGACTTCAGAGAATGTACAGAAATGCAAGGAGATGTGGAAAGAAAAGTATTTAGAATCCTCATATGCCAAGGAATTTAAATTATCTTCTGAGCCACTTAAGAATGCTCAGCACTGGAGTGATAGGACCAGATTACGGCCTCAGGGATCACAGTGCAGGTGGAAGGGAAGGTTAAACAGAAAAGAAAGATGACTCTGGCAGTACATAGTGGATGGGTGAGCAGAGGGCCCTAGACTGAAGGTAAGAAGACTAATAAGAGGCTCTGCTGTGATTCATATAGAAAATGAAAAGGATCTGACCTGTGGCAAATAGGGGCAAGAACAGACACAAGACAGAAAAAAGTAATGTTTAGGTAGAATCAACTGGACTTGATGAATGACTAATTGTAACTGTGTGATTTCTATGTTTAGAAAACTCTAAGAACAGGTGATGGAAGGAGAACTGACTCTGGGTGGTGAGTATACAATATGATATATAGATGATGTATTACAAAACTGTACACCTGAAACCTATGTAACTCTACTAACCATTGTCACCCCAATAAATTTTATTTAAAAAAACAAAAGTAGAGGGAACATACAAGAAAGAATTTTTACAAGGGGAGGGTGATGAATTCAGTATTGCTTATATTGAATTTGAAGTATTTGCCATCTATTTAAATGAAGCTATACAGGAGGCATTTAGTGCTTAGAAAAAAAGGATATGGGCTCAACATATAAAACTGGGGGCATTAACATTCTGGTAATGATTGTAACCATGGACCACCTAAAAAGGGGGAAAGGATAAATACTGAGAAGTGGAATTGCTGGGTCATATGCTGGTTCTATTTTCAGTTTTTGGGGGAACCTCCATACTGTTTTCCACAGTGGCTGCACCAATTTGCAATCCCACCAACAGTGCATGACAGTTCCCTTTTCTCATCATTGCTAACACTTGTTATTTGTTGACTTTCCGATAATAGCCATTCTGACAGGTGTGAGGTGGTATCTCTTTGTGGTTTTGATTTGCATAACTTTGCAGGGTGACAGATGGTTACTAGACTTAGTGTGGTGATCACATCATAAGGTGTATAAATGTTGAATCACTATATTGTATACCTGAAACTAATATTGTATGCCAACTATACTTAAGCAAAAAAAAAAGGGTGGGTGGGCTTCAAACATAATCCTGGGAAAACCCAACATTTAAAAGTTGAATGGAGAAAAAAAAAAGCCCATAAAGGACATAGGAAAACAAAACAAAACAAAATAAACAAAACAAAAACAAACTCATAGATACAGAAACAAATTAACAGTTGTTAGATGGGAGGGGGACTGAAGGAATGGGTGAAAAAGATGAAAGGGATTAAGAAGTACAAATTGCCAATGATGTCTCAAAAAAGTCACAGGGATGTCAAGTACAGCATATAGAATATAATAATATTGTAATAACTATTTATAGTATCAGATGGGAATTAGAATTATCAGGGTGATCACTTCGTAAGGTATATAAATGTCTAATCACTAACTATGCTGTACACCATATAATACAGTATGTCAACTGTAATTGAAAAATAAATAAATAAATCCATCAGGGTAGAAAGAAAACCAGAAGATTATGGTATAATCAAAACTAAAGGGAAGAGGCTTTCAAGATGGAGAGAGGCACTGTGTCAAGTGCTGAGGATAATTTACTTCAGTCAGAGCAAGAAAGATATAACTAATCTTTTGACCATGCTTTACTTCATTTATTTTTCTACTAATCAGATGTAGTCTATATTGTACACACCTCTGTCTCAGCTTGAGTTCTCTGACAGCGATATTGGGCAATCAGTCTATCGGCTTGTGCGAGGGCTAGAGCTTTTGCTTCCAAGAGATCTTGTAGCCTGCTTTCTTTGGACTATTAAAAAAAAATACCATTAATTTTCATCATTTACTAGAAAACATCTATGAAAGCTTAATTGTTACATACAGTTAAAATAAGCCTGTACTCACAGCTAATGTAGACAGTTTCATCTCATATACATCCATTATGTCAGATATTCTCACATCATTAATCTGATCCTTTACCTAGGTTTTAATACAATAAAGTCAAAAATCAGAATTTTTTTTTTAAAGATTTTTATTGGGGAATTGGGGGGATGGGAACAGTGCTGGGGAATTGGGGGAAGGGGAACAGACAAGTTGCTGTCCTTTTGTTCTTCAGTCTAGTTGTGCAGGATGTTGCTTCACTGGCCCAAGTTGGCACCATCATTGCGCTCTTCCTGGGCGAGGCAGATCAGTCGCCGGCTTCTGGACGGCCGCTCACAGCGGCTGCTGGCCACTCACGCTGGCTGCTGGCTACACCTCGTAGCCCATGGCAACCCACCTGCCGTCGCCAGCGACTCATAGCAGCCTAGCTCCAGGTTGAGCTGTTGTTCAGCATCTTAGCTGTAGAGGGCAGTGTCACTGGCCCTCATATGTGGGATCCAAACCGGGGCCCTCTGGCATCCCAAGCCAGTTCTTAACCAACGCGCCACTCGGCTGGCCCAAAAAATCAGAAATTTTAACATGAGAAAATAAAAATAAAATGTCTACTATAAAAATAAATCATCAAAACTTAATGAATAACAAAGTAAAAATAAATGAATGCCATAGCAGGCAGTTCACAGACATTTCACTAACCTGGCTACTGCAGAAGATAACTGGATAAAATTTGAAATACGTGTGAGAATTTAAAATATATTTCTTAAGCTGAGGGTGTTGGGGGAGGGTGGGTTGGCTGGAAGACTAGGGAAAGAATGATAGCTGTGTTAAAATATAGGAACTTTTGAGCTCTGAGCAACAGCGGTTCGATTCACAGCCTGAGCTGAGCAGCCGCTGAGCTGCCAACAGGTAGCAGGATGGCTCAGCTAAAAAAAACAATAAAAACAAAAAAAATAGGAATTTTATGGCTGATGTTTTCTTACTTTATTTAGAAACTTTCCAGAATATTATATTTTATATTAAATGATAAGGTTTCAATAATCAAATATGCATCTAACGTTGTTGAAATAAATATTATAATCAGGGCTGACATTTATTGATATGTACTGAGCACAATCCCATTTATAATGGCTTTTTATTACTCACCACCACTCCAGACTGAAGTTTCTCTATTAATTCCTCTATATTCAATCCAGGAACTCGATCTTTCAAAAGCGGAGGAGTTAAACATTTTACTGATGTTGGAAAACTGTGACTTAATGATTGCAAAGGCATTCTTCTAGGCATATTTTCTGTTTCCTGCTGTCTATAGGCATTGTTTGCTGCTATACTTTCTCCAAGTCTAGATGAGAATCAAAAATAAATAATTACATAAAAATAGAGCAAAAGGCACAGTTAGTACAGATTTAGGGGATCTTTTAGAATGGGTCTTTTGGGAATAAGTCTTCAAATATTTTTGAAATAATCTTGGTGTCTATAATGAAGTAGGATTTTGTGAAATATCCTCAATTTGCTAGAGGAAACTTTTTTCCACTTACAACCTTTTATAATGACAAGTCCACTTCTGGTTTGGGGGTACTAGAACTAATTTGTGAGTGTGGATTATTTGCAAAAATTAAGGAAAATGTTATTGGTAGCAATAACAACATCCTTCTTACCATGGACAACATCACCTGGCTTTTACCTATGTCCCTCACCCTTTCCCTTCCTCAGTACGTTTTTACCAACCTGACTTCCATTCTGCCCCTTCCATTTCTCCCATCTTATTCCTATCTCTGGGCCTTTGTACAAGCTGTTTCTTTACCCTGAACACTTTTCTGACCAGACCTGCACAATGTTGGCTCTTTCTTATCATCAGGTCTCAGTTCAAACTCATTTCCTCAGAGAAATGACGTACACATTGTAAAACTTACTTCTTTCAACTCATCTCCCAATTAGAATGTGAACCTCACAACAGAAGTCCCCCTTGTCTAATTAACTGCAATATCCAAAATGCTTAGAAGACAGCCTGGCACATAGGTGGCCCTCACCAGATGTTTGTCAAATGTTTAAATAAAACAAACACACATTAAAACCTACCTAAGCATCCACCCACCCATCCATCCATCTAGCATATAATTTCACCTTATTAAAGTGTCTTAAGATAATGTAAAGGAAGGCACACATAGATATAAATGGACACCTGAGACAGTGTCCAGAAAGAAAATTATACAACACAAGCAAGACAGGGATGACCAACACACAGTGAAATGGGAAGGCCTCACATACAAGGACAGAAGATGAGACTCCCACTTGCAGTGAGGCTGAGGCTTTCCACTCTCAAGTGTGGGGGTTTTGCTCCATGTCAGGGTACCACAGCAGAAGCACACAGGCCACCACAAAATGAAGCAGCTTTATAGACCATTTCTCTCTTGTGACTTGAGATGGTCCCTATTTGTCTGTCTATTTCTTAAAAAATATTTATTATAAACTGAAGGGAATTTTGATTATGTTGTGTCTAGGTATTGTTTTCAATACTTCTTCATCTCTTAATTTATGACTACTTAAAATATTAATTCTGAAAAATGTTTGCTAAGTCAGTTAATAGAAATGACAGAGGTTAGCAAACTTTCTTAAAGGACAAAGCAGTAAGTACTTTAGGCTTAAGGGTTATTTAGTCTCTGTTACAACTTCCCAACCCTGAAGGCATAGCATGAATGTAGACACAGATAATATAATGTGAGGGTGAAAGGATGTGGCCTTGGCCACATAACAAAACTTTATTTATCAAAACAGGCTTCTTTCTGCTGGCTATAGTTTGCTGACCCCTGGCATGTAGAAATGTCTTACCTGTTTATTGCTTCAGCTTATTCAAACTACTTTACAAGTACATTTATATAAACCACTTATATTTTAAAAAATTAAAGTAGAACCCTACTAGACATTTTGTCAACCTTTTAGTTTACAGACAGCTATGAAACTCTAATTTTTTTCAAACATAACTGCAAATATTCTCTTAATGTTTAAAATTAATGAGCATAGTGGATAATTCTGCTTGGCCATTATCTATTTCACTTTCTAATAAAAGCACAGAATTTTTCTTTAGGAACCCTCCCACCTCCCATCCACCTGCCCCCACCTCCCCAGCTCCCAACCTCCAGCCCTTGCAGCTCTCATAGCTAAATCCCGGGCATTTGCCACGGTCCACTCCTTGGCAAGTGACCCATGTATGGTTAATGACGGTGATGCTTCGACTTACCACTTAGACAACTAGGAAGGAAAAGCTCTTTCTAGGGAGAAACTAAATTGGTAGGCTATACACTTAGTCCAGAAGCTAAATTGAAAAGAGGTGGTGAGAGACAGAGGGACATAGTACCTGCATAACATATTTAACCATCTGGATCTAACATTTCTTTGAGTATACACCTGATCTTTTCAGTTGGAATCAATTTTTTTTAATCACTTGAAAAATTCCTATTACGATGAAGTCTTCGATTCACTAAATTTCTAATCTATCCATACTGAGGCCTACTAAAGAAACACAGCAGGATATTCCAGCACTATAAGAAATACAGTGCAAATGATTATAACTCACACTAAGGCAGGAAAATCTGGCAGTGGAGCAGCTTCCAATAATATTCCCAATCCAGACTGGACTTGTTCTCTATTATCTGATGTTAAAGCAAAAGCCAAGGGAGTAATCAAGCGTGGATCCTTAGGAAATCAGAAACCAGAAAATAAGAGACAGAAAGAATACATAACGTCATCTTTTAGAATAAGGTGAATAAACAGACCTAAGTCATACAATAATTCTAGTCAAACTCTAAAGTGTTTCTATCCGATGTTTGAACATACTTATTAGTCTTCATCTTGTTATAACTGTCTTAGCAATCAATATGGACACTAGCTTTAAAAATGTGACAGAGTTTTTGAATGCTTTTGACTGTACTTATGAAAATAATGTTTTGATGAATTTAAAATATCATGCACAACTGATGTTTTTAATTATTGTTTTATTCTTCTAGCTACCATCTAAAAGAAAAACTGGCTGAAAGAAAAAATGGCTAATCATTTCCAAATTAAAGTAAAATATAAAAGTAAAATTCAAATTAACTCAATAAAAATTTTAATTTAGTGACTGAAACAATTACACTTAAAATGTAAGTCCTTCATGTCAGTAAATATTTTATATTAGTACTGTAAGACCCAAATTGCCTATTATGAAAAACATCTCCTAAGACTTGAAATAAATTAGTTTGGCTCAATTTTTTTTTTTTTTTTTTAGTTTAAAAAGTTAATTTAATTTAATTTATTTATTTATATATTTATTTAAAAAGAACATTTCACTCTTGTAGAAAATTTGGTGAATACATGAAAGTATAAAGAAAAATGTAAATCTCTGCTAATATCTTTGTGTATTTCCTTTTTCTATTTGGTTTTTTTCATAACTGGTCTTATATGAAAAAAATATGGAATGCTTTACGAATCTGCGTGTCATTCTTGCTCAAGGGCCATGCTAATCTTCTCTGTATCGTTCCAATTTTAGTATATGTGCTGCCAAAGCGAGCACAGTTTGGCTCAATTTTTAAGTTTAGTAAGTTAACAGAGAAAACTATTAAAAAAATATTAAAAATGAATCATTTATAACTATCAACATTTTACAATGGTGAGTATCTTGTGGGTACTCCAATATAATCTAATGCCACAGAACCATGACAAGAGCTGGCCTTCTTCATAAACTCCATGCTAACCCTCCATCACTCCTCCCATGGAGAGAGATCATTATTTCCACTTCGTAGTCAGGAACTTGGAGCTCAGAGAGGAGAAACAGCTCGCTTAAGTCTGCACTGACTCATAAGTAGTGGAGCCAACATCTGAGCCCCCTGTCTTAAGCATTATGCTCTCAAAGCGTACAAGTAGCCGCTGCCTAAAGTTTCAGTTTTGGCTTCTACCCTGTCTATAGAGGCCATCAGTCATCATTGTTATTATAGTAACTTAATTCACACATCTGTTAAATATCTAATATAAACCAGGTTTTGTGAATATCAAGGTAGACATCTAGAACTCTTACTCAGCTACTATCATCAAAATTTTTGAATTATTTTCTGCACACACTCTTTAATCTTACTATCACTCACAATCAAGTCTTTTTCTTCCAGATGTCTCCCCATCCCCTTAATGCTCAACCTCATCATTTCCAAACAAAAACAAGAACCCCCAAACAAATACTACTTCCCCCACCACCGCAATGCCAATAGAAATAAATGAAGAAAACTGAAGCAGGACACACACACGCAAAGGCTGAGGAGGCGCCACCATCATGAACATTCTGTCCATTAGCACCAGGAGCACTTAGGTTCAGCTCCTGCGAAACCATGTAAAATAACTGTGTAGTGAGATTACAGCTACATAAGACAGTTAACAACTTTAAACGTTCCTTTGAATGCCAATTCTAAGAAAATTATCTTCTAAAAATTAGGACTATTAAAACAGAAACACATTGGGGAGCATTTACATATGAATAAACTTGAATATTTGAAGAGTTTAAACTCACCTGAAGGATTTTGTAGAAGCTTACTTCCATACCAGGAACCAACTGTTTAAGTTTGTTCATCAAGTCAAGAGTTTTCAAAATTACATCAGCAGCAAGTTTGCTTTAAAAAGAAGTCATATTTAAATTAATAACTCTAAAATTGCTTAGAGCTTACTGTTATCCATAATGCAAAAGAAAAAGAAACACCAACATCATTGTTTTTAAACCAAGAAGATAAAGTATTATATCTTTTCAGAAGTAAAATTATCATTGAGAAGAAAAATATCAGAGACCAACCTTTTAAACCAAGACCCAACTAGAACAAACTGGCAATAGTCTAAGTTTACACAGTGTTTCCTTTTCTGCTCTCAAATACCACACCACACTTATAGCTTCTGCTTCAAATTACTAGCAGCATTGGCAACATGACTTATTTAATTCTTAGCTTTGTCACTAGAATATCAACAGTAGAGGGCAACCTCAGGCAATAAAAAAATACCTAATATACTGAATTAATTATATTAAGCTATGTTGTCAGCCATATACCTGAAAGGGAGTATAAACAAGTAAACAGACAATCCTTGTTATTGAGGAACACAATTACTGATATTTATGGAAATTGGAACGAATGGTGGTGTCTAGTTAGCAAGTTCTCAATAAATTCTTAGATGGACTTAATTCATGAAGGAGGAAGGGGATACAATAATATCACTATCGGTGAAAATCTACCTTTAACCATAAGTCTTGACATACTAAGGTAGAAGAGCTGTCTTTGTCATTAGGAAAGCTTCTGCAGTGACTGATTTCTTTGTAATAAAAACTATCCCTGTTTTTTCATGCTTTTTTTCTTAAAAATATAAACTTAAATGAACATAAAAGTAATTACTGAGTCAATGTCAAAAAGGATTCTCCAGAAATGAAATATAAAAGTATAAAAGACCCTTACACAATCACAATAAATTGAAACAAAACAAATCTAAACAATGAAAAACAAATCACGTTAATATATTTCTTCAGAAACATGTGATCTATGAAATGAATAATTTTTCTAAAAATCATTATGAAAATATTTTTAATTCTCTGCTATACTTTGAGTTAACAGAACATACCCAAGGTTGAGCCTCCAAAAAGGATGAGAATCACTACATCTTTTGATTTTTATTAAGTTCGGCCTTACCATTTTACAATTTGGATTTCATATACTTACCACAGTTCAGAATCTGCTACCTTTGTTCCAAACCCCAGGTCAATCTTGCCATATTTAAACTGTTGTTCTATTAGAGTGGCACATTTGATAGTAGTCAGAATTTTTGCAATATGTATTTTTAGAGTATCATCTCCACACAGAGGTAAGTTTTGTTAAGGGACACAAACAAAAGATTCTCATAAACCTTTATATTTGTTAAGCACTTTACAGCACTTAAGGTGATTTCATACAAATTATCTCATCACTGCAATTCAGTGTAACTTTTATTACATTAGCTCATAGACATTAAGAAATGAGAGCTCAGAGCATTTATGTGACTGGTAAATGGCAAGAGATGGATGATACAAAAGTTTCTGACTCCAAGGTATAACAGAGGGAATCTGTTTCTTTACTAGATATTAGTTTTTTGTTAGCAGGTATCACAATGGTTCAATAAATATTTGTTGAACTAAAGGAAGTTATTTTCTCATACTTTGTATATTGTAAGTTATTTTGAATATCATTAAAAAAACGGTCAAATCTGGTACCATTCAATGAGAGAACGCCTAGATATCTTACAGATATCTCTAAGGTCAAGCAAAGTAATCATGTGGCTGCATGTTAGAATCACTGGGGTAGTTTAAATAATCAAACTCCTCCCCACTAGGGTTTCATATTACTTGAATTAAATTAGAATCTCTGGAAGTAAGGTTTAGGTGTCAGTATTAAAATGTTCTCCAGGCGATTTTAGTACATAGCCAGGGTTAAGAATCACCGCTGTAAAGAAGAGGAAAATTAAGAAGCAGCAGCTCAGAGAGGAGATTAAACATACGGAGTTTGCTCTAAGACAAGACAAGGTTGAGCAAATTCTTGTTGCTCTGAAACACAAAGAAACCTGACCAGGTAAATGTAAGAGATCTGGTTGAGATATAGTGGCTCCTTACTGAAAATAAGAAAAGCATTAATGAAATATTATAAAATTGGGATTTGGACTTCCTATCAACTTAGAATCAGCTAATCTTAAAAAAAAAAAAAGGTAACACAAGGAAAGACCTAAGAAAATCATTATACGGAAGTTAAGCAGTGATACTAATTGTATTCAAGGTATTCTTTTTTTGAAATGAATTTGTTTTGATAATATTTGTCCTTTTTATAACCAAGTATAAATATATCTTTATTAAAACATTTATGGAGACTTTAATTTTTAAAACACAAGCTAAAAAACTGAGCTAAAATAATGACACCTCTACCAGTATTTCTTTATTCTCTAATACACCCAACCAAAGATGGCACCACAAATCATCCGGGGCAGCAATTAGCAGCAGAGGAGAGTAACAGTGCCGTTATTGCAGAACGTATCTCCTAATCTCAAATTGTGATACAAATATCCAAGTCAAGTTTAAAAAGCATTTCTGAAAATGTTCCTTAGCTTAAAAGTTCTGCACAGAAAAACAAGGAAAAAAAAGTCTGAACAACTTTTATGGAACCTCTTCATTGAGAATTAGTTCTACAGTTTAATAATTAGATCTTCAGTTCAATAATTCTGAATAGATACCAGCATGAGAAGTGACAAAATTACAAATAAAGACAAAAATGCAGTAAATACAATGTTAGAAAAAAAATGAGTGGTTATTTAGTTTCCATGTTTATAACAGTAAAGGATATTTAACAAAACTTCAATGGCCTTGACCATCCTTTCACATTTTTTTCTTATTAAGGTCTCATCTAAATTTTGCTCTGTGAACTGAAGCTGATCAAGGACTGTAGGCAGCAGAAGGGTCACAAAATGGTCAGCTGAGGAACTGTTAGCAGTATCTATGACATCCTGGAGTATGAACCACCATCAATGATCAAAAACAAAAATAATGATGAAATACAAAATGCAGAAATAGTCATCACTGAGCTGCAATGTTCTCTTTAAATTTTTTATAATTACTTTAATAGTTCATTGACCTGTGTGTCCTATTTAAAATCTACCCTTTTATCCAATTTTGAGGACTATAATGTATTTTTTTTCCCCTCAAATGGAACAATAAGGTTTTGGGCTAATTAACTACAAACAATGCTTTTTTAAATGGACTATATTTGTGATTTAAAAATTATTCTAAATTAAAAGTATTTACTGAAAACGAATATCTAGAATTTGCTAAATGTAATTATAATTAAATAATAGACACATCTTAATATTTTACAACCACAAATAATTCCCATCAAGAATCTCAAAAGGCTTTTTCAATGCTAAAACTGATTATTAACAGTCAAGACCAACATAAAACAGAAAAAATAACTTCTGCATAATCCTTAACAGATAGTATATTTAATCAGTCATATACATTTTTGTTTGTGCATAGGATCCATTCGGGAGAGGGGAAACATTCTAGGAAGATACTGGAGTAAGCAGAATGGGTATGAAAACAGAACTGTAGAGACTGCTAAATGATCCTGATAAGAGAATCAAAGAAGGTAATGAATGACCTCTATGGAAAGAATTTGTCTATATCCTAAGTGCTTAGAAGTGTCTGGCACGTTCCACTCCCTTTTACTGACTGAATCCAAGGTTTCTCTATTAATCTACTTAACAAGCTAATAAAGCTGGCAGTACCTACTGAGGTGGAGAAACAGATGTGGCTACTTCAAGAAATAGTCATACAACAACAAACATACAAATCATAAACCTTTACTTATTACACTGAAAGGAGTGTGTGTGTATATATACATACGTACATATATACATATATACATATATAATACATATATACATTTATACATATATATATGCTCTTCAGTGAAAAAAGGGAAAACACTAACATTTGTGACTTTGCCAGGAAAAAAGAAACTCAGTAGCTGAATGGTGGGGTGTCTAGTAATTGAGAAGTTTTCCTACAATGTATGAATGACTGGAAGTTTATTATGAACATTTTTGAAAACAAACTGTTCACTGAGAATCATAAAAGTAAAAAAGTCAAATTGTCACATATTACCTCAAATATTTCCTTGAACAGCTCCAATGCTAAAATAGAACAGTTGTCTGATGCATCCAAAGGTTGGCTTGACCAACGAAGTAGAGCCACAGCAGGCTCTAAACATTTAGAATGGCTTCCCAGCATGGTGTTGCCAGATGGAGATTGTTCAAATAGCATCTGAGTGAGCACGTGGCGCAGCTGAGTCACTGAACAGAGGGCAAGAAGTAATTCTAAAACCTGTGCAATACAAAGTCTTCATTAAATGTCAACTTAATGTACAAAGCAATCGAATGATGAAGCTGAAAATGACATACAATTTTAAATAAAATGCTGTAAAACAAAAATTAAATGCAGCTTACAATTTTTCTTTTCGGATTATTTTTCAAAATGTGTGAATAGGTTACAGAAGGTTTCAAAGAAATTTGTTAATGATGGTTCCTCCTGATAAACAGAACTGTGAGAGCCAAAAAGGAAGGGCAATTTCAACTAATATTATGTGCCTTCTAAGGTACTTAATTTTTTATTTTTTGAAGCTGAGCCATCCTGCCACCTGTTGGCAGCTCAGCTCAGGCCAGGTATTGAACCGCTGTTGCTCAGAGCTCAAACTCTTGAGTGAGCTCTTAACCATCTGACCACTCAGCCGGCCCAGTACTTAATTTTTTTAAAGCACAAACACATTTTATTCTTAAAATTAAAAATCAGTAACTAACACTTGTTGTCATGCTAACTTTCAAGAATTGCTATTAAGCACATTTTAGGTTAATACTTAAAAGTGGCATCCCAAAGCATTAAAACCTTAAGAATGGCTATTTCCATACTATGTTTGCACACTGTCAGCATTATGCCCCTTAGCTCTCCCAGTCTAATTTCTTCTTTACTTCATAAACTGGGCCTTATACCAATATGTAACATAGCATCCCATATCAACCTGTTTATTAGCTGTTAATTTAAATTCTACCTTATTTCATATACTGCCAACTTATCATTAAAATATTTTTTGTCATCTCTTTGCCTATTCATTTATTTTCTACCTTTATCTGTTTCTTATAAATGACATATAATTGGGATTTGTGTTTTAATCGACTTCATCACATCTGATTTTAATAAATTCAATCCATTAGCATTTATTATGCAAAAAATGATAAACAATATTTGACTTATTCCTTTTGAAATATATTAAAAAATTGTGTTTAAATAGGTAGTACAGTCCCTTGATTCCAAAGTCAAAGGTACCAGCCTGACCTCTAGCTATACTCCCTGGGGGCAAGCAATGCAACTAGTTTCTTATTTTTCTTACCAGAGATACCTTATGCACATAAAAGAAAATACTTCCTCAAGTACACTTTGTAAGTATAACATACAGAGAAGCAAAACAAATCAATCACTAGCGCAAAGTTAGATGGTTTTCCCACAGTGAACACACCTGTGTAACCAGGAACCAGATTAAGAAAGAGAATTCTACCAAACTCTAGAACCCACTTGCATCCCTTCCTAGATAATGCCCCAACCACTCCTCCACATCAGATATCAGACACACAGGTTACTTTTATCTTAGCTATTCTTGGATCTTTGCATTTCCACAAAAATTCTTCAATCAGCTTACCAGTGTATATTAAACAATCACATGGAACTTCATATATAAATAGAATCTTGCAGTGTATACTCTTCTGTCTGGCTTCTTTAGCTCAGCATTGTTAGTGAGATTCATCCATATTGTTGCATGCAGCTGCATTTCGCTCATTTTCAGTGCTGTATAGTGTAGTCATGCTCCACATAATGACATTTCGGTTAACAACAGACTGCATGTACAACTGAGATCCCATAAGATTATAATGGAGCTGAAAAATTCCTACACTGAGTGTCGTCTTAATGTCAGAGTGCAATGTGTTACTCACGTTTGTGGTGATGCTGGTGTAAACAAACCTACTGCACTGCCAGTCATATAACAGTATAGCACATACAAGTATGTACAGCACATAATACTTGATAATGATAGTAAATGACTGTTACTGCTTTATGTATTTATTATACTATACTTTCAAATCATTATTTTGGAATGTATTCTTTCTACTTACAAATAAAAGTTTGCTGTAAAAGAGTATGGTGTTACGCCAGCAGCAGATTCACACATCTCATACTTATAGCGCCTTTTGATTGCATCGTTTTCTCTTGGTTGACGTAGTCTTGTGTTGTTTTATATTTTAGTGTTGCCTAAGTGTAGTGTTTATAAAGTCTACAGTAGTCTACAGTCATGTCCTAGGCCTGCACATTCACTCACCACTCACTCACTCACTGACTCACCAAGAGCAATTCCAGTCCCTAAGTTCCTTTCATGTTAAGTGCCCTCCACAGGTATACCATTTTTTATCTTTTATACCATATATTTACTGTACCTTTTCTATGTTTAGATATGTTTAGACACAGAAATACCATTGTGTTACAATTACCTACAGTATTCAGTGAAGTCCCATGTTGTATAGGTTTGCGGCCTAGGAGACATAGGCTACACCATATAGCCTAGGTGTGTAGGCTACACCCTTTAGGTTTGTGGAGAACTCTTATGATGTTCGTACAATGAAGCATTTCTCAGAAAATGTCCCCATCGTCAAGCGGTGCATGATTGCATTCCAATGTATAAATATACCAGTTTATCTGCCCATCCCATTGCCGATGGCATTTGGGTTATTTCTAATGCTTGGCTATTAGGAGCAGTACTGCCATGTTTTATATGTTTGGTGAACATATGTATTCAATTGTTTGGGATAAATACTTATGAGTGGAATTGTTAGGTCCTGGTTTACGCATGTGTCCAATGTTAGTAGATAATACCAGTTTTCATAAGTCATTGTATCAATTTTCAGCCCATGTGTATGGGGACACATAAAGTTTTTACATTCTCATCTATTATTAAAATTATTCCTATTTTTTAATTTGAACCATCTGGTGGGTGTGTAGTGGTATTGCACTACCATTTAAATTTGCATTTTCCTGAATATTAATCAAGTTAAGCAACCATTTCATATTTATTGAACAATTCAAGTTTTCTCTGTTTAGGTTAGCCTACTGAGTTCAGTGTTTTTTTATGACTTACACGTACAAGTTTTTAAATAATAGATTTTAGATTAGAGTCCTTTGTTGGATATATGTATTATAAATAACTTTACCCACTCTGTCAGTTGCCTTTTCACTCTCTTGTTGGTCTTTTCATGAACAGAAGCTCTTAATTTTAATGTAATCCTACTTATCAATTTTCTTCCTGTATAGTGGGTGCTTTTGTTTCCTGTTTAAGAAAATCTTTGTCTATCCCAAAGCTGTGAAGTATCTGCCACATTTTTCTTCTAAAAAATTAGTTTTACCTTTCACATTTAGATCTACAATCTTTCTGGAACTGATTCATGCATGTGGTATGAGGTAGGGGTCAAAATTCAGTTTTTTCCCATGTGGATATTAAAGTGACTAGTGTCATTTATTGAAATGATCATCCTTTTAAAACTGCATTGTTATCAATCAGAAAACCATAAACTATGGGTTTGACTTTGGACTGTACTCTGTTCCATTGGGCTAGCTGTCTATCTTTACGAAAATATTGCACTGTTTCAATTTTTGCTGCTTTATATTAAGTCTTGATACCTAGTAGTATTGTAAGTCCTCCAACTCTGCTCATTTTTTTCAGGAAAGCCATGGTTATTTTTGGACTTTTGCATAACAATACGGATTTTAAAATAAGCTTCCCAATTTCCACATACACCACAATAAAATACAGAAACAAAAACCACTAAAGACTGCTGTGATTTTGACTGACCTAATATTGTAAATTCTTGCAATCTATGAACTTGGTATGACTGTATTTATTTAGGTCTTTTATTTCTCTCAATGTTTTAATTTCAGAGTAGAGGCCTTATACATGTTTTATTGGAGTTATCTCCTAAGCATCTGACATTTTTAAAACTCAGTAAATGGTATTATTTAAAAAATTTCATTTTCTATTTGTTTAACAACTTCTACATGTCTTTTGGTAAGCTCATGGACATATCTGTCTTGGCTATGTAGCTAGAAGTGAAATTGCTCTGTTATATAGGATACATATATTCAGTAGGCACTGTGAAACAGTTTTCCAAAGGGACTGTGCCAGTGTATAAAGATTCGAAGAGGTTTTTAGAATATTGGTAATGTTCTGTTTCCTGATCTAGATACTGGTTATATGGCTGTGTTCAGTCTGTAAAAATTTAGAGATTTTTGTGCACTTAGATTTTTCTTCACATTATAGCTTTTAAGATGTTTAAAGCAAAAAGTCATGTTTTATATACCTTTGAAGAAGAATCAGCATCCTTTCCATTAAGAAGACCTAATACTTGATTAAGACATGAAGAAAAGTGCTCATACCTAGGTTTGAAATAAAAATATACATCAAATGAGAAGGAATTGAAACATCAAGATAGATTTACGTACAAAATTATAACATTTAAGTGTTTTCTTTTATCTATTTTGAGCTTCTAATACAAAAGTCTTTACACTTAAAACTTGAAACATACTCTACTATTATTATACATAAATTGGCTCTGTCATTTACTAAACAGTGAAAAAACAATGACTTGTGGCAATAAATTAATCATTGAAACTTTCTGTACCTCAATAGCCTTTTTTTAAAGGTTGTAAAATGGAAAGAACATGAATATTCTAATCAGCTAAAAAGCTACTTATTTACAAAGCATCTATAATTGCCAGACATTAAATTAGGCTCTGCAGATATAGAGATAAGGAGCAGGGCCCTATGCTATACAACTCTAATAAGTACTAGAGGTACCAGACTTGAACCTTAAAGAATAAACAGGAGTCAGACATGTGAAGAGGAAAGAGTCTTCCAGCCTTCCAGAGGAAGCACTCCAGAAGAAACAGCACATGGATACATGAAACGGCATTTCTTGCAAGTTGGTGGTTCTGTGTATTGTCTGAAATGATTATATAATAGTATGTAAGAAAGAACATGTGAAGAAATAAGGCTGAGAGGTTGCCAGGGACTAGATTTTGGATTGCTATGATGAGAATATGGACATTTTCTTTGAATGCAATGGCAGATCTCAAATTTTAAAAGGGACATTTGGTTGGAAAAGTTGAAAATGGAGCTTATGCATATGTCAAAGGAGTCAATTGAATGGTAGGCACTAAACAGATAGGAGAAACTATTGAATAAGATAGGACAGAATGAGACAATGCATAGAATATTAGGATATGTTTATGAGTGAAACAGGAGGGCACTAAGTAAGAATTGGTATAAACACAGGTAACTGTTCAGGAGCCCAGATTTGAGGGAACTCCAATTAGACGGGATCCCGTTTTTTGTTGTTGTTTTTTTCTCTGTGAAACAAAGATCAGGTCATCCTCTGATTGAAAAGTGGCAAGAGGAAAGTAGCAAATATTTGAAAGAGCCACTGTAGAAAATGTGAAAGAAAGTTGATTGGGAATAAATGTAAGAGGTATTGCCCAGATAAAGTTAGAAATCATGAATATATAGCACACAAATTGATGAGGTATGATTTTTCTCAAGCTTTGATTAGGAACCCAGGCATTCAGGTAGACTTTGGAACAGATTCGGTAATGTTTTGCGAAATGGTAGAGCAGATACGGTAAATAAGAGGACAACACAATTAAGCAAAATGTTTTTCTTTCTAGAGGTGACTCTGAGAATCTAGGCTAGAGAGAAGATAGATAACGGAACTGAGAGATGTACAGAAGTGATTAAGCAACCACCTAATAATAATATTCAATCAGGTTATCTTTCTGTCCTCTTGGAGAGGTATATCCAAAATATTTTTTCTGTTTACTCTGAAGCTGTTAAAAAAGCACTATTTGGTGGTCAGAATGAGTATTATATGAGAATATATTGGGAGGATTTTTACATCAGATAAACAGGGGGTAGGTAGAGGGAGGGCACTCTGGAAGACAATTCTCTTATCTATTGATGCTTAAGAGAAAAAAAAAAAATGAAATGCCAATGTGAGTGCTTCCTGGTTTTGCAAAGTATCAGTTAACCATGAGTAATGGATAACCTTGCCCTAGTGCTTAGCTTTTGTTTTTTTAACTTCCAGATTCTATGTTCCTTAAAGATTAGGGACATGGGACTATGTCTTCATATTCCTGACTCTGCTAACAACCTCTCCTCCCCCAAAGCTTAGCAGGGACTCAATAAATGTTTTCCTGTTTCTGAATGATTCATTAATTTAACTCTTTGAAGCAATTTAAACAATTTTCCAGCTTAGGACCACTAGCAGCTTAGGCACTGGGAAAATTTAACTTGAGATGCAAAAAGGACATGAGGTCTTTAGAAAACAGTTGCTAACTGATCTCAAAACATAAATGATCACATGAAATGCCATTGAGCTAGAATAGACATATAAGCATGTGTTTTCATTTTCACTTTCTAACACAATAATCACCCACTGAAAGAAACATCTATTTTTCATACACAAAAGAAAAAATGCAAAAAGACAGACTAACATGAATGTTCTTATAATAAAAATATTCTTTCGAAAAATCATAATGTTCAAGGTTGAACTGGTTTTGAAACAGAGTAATCAAGATGTGTACATTTTGGGGAATGACACAACCTTATCCATCTAAGACGGAGACTGACATACACACATACCCTTGTTATACTTTTACATTTCAGGCCAAGAAAGAAAAAAGAATGGGAATAAAGCACATCAACATATTCTGATTTAGTCTATCATAAATCAGTAGAATTCAAGTTTACTAAATCTAAAAAGGCAGTTTTATTAATCACAAACACATCTTGGTTAAAAAAAAGGTCTTAAAGTTTGTCAAAGAGAACCATACCTGGTAAGATAATCAGCAATTTTAGGGTTCTTAAGGAGATCCATCAGTAGATCAACTGAATACTTTCTGGTTAGTGTGCCATCACCATTTATGAGAATATTAAATATTAGCTGAAAAGTTTGATGAATGTTTCGAGCATGGAATAGCTTGAAAACAAATTAGGGAAAGTATATTATACAAAAAATTAAGTTGACACCATCCTAAAACTTAATAAAGATCCTCAATGACTTTTAAAATATCAGAGAATACAAATTTCAGAATTATTTCATAAATAATAAAAAATCATATTTACCTTTTCCCCAACCTCTTCATTTAACGTCAAACTGGATAATATTGAAAGTGCAAACACAACCACAGTTAAACTACTATGGGCCAAGAAACTTATAAGAGTTCGATAAAAAGATTTCACATTGTTCTGAGGAAGAAAAAAATTTTAAAATAAATTAGAATGAAAAATGATAAGTTTTATATTTTGGTTCAGAAAGTATATCTTGCACAGAGTAGGTAAACTTTTATTAACTATCATTATCAACTTAAGAGATCATTCAAGAAGATGGTGCTTTCATATATTGCTTACAGTATTATATGAGTAAATAGATACAATCTTAGTGAAAAGCAGCATTTAGATGTGGGATTATGAACGAATGTTTACCTTTCTTAAACACTTCCATGGCTCAAAATAACCTTTACTGCCAAAGTATGACCAGGTCAGCAAAATCCAGCACACGAACAAATGAGATACTGAAATACTGAAAATTGCACAGCAGGGGGACTGTTTACAAAGTACCTTAAATAATAAATTTTCTTGATTTAATATATTTCCAATGGTGGGTCAGTTTACCTTTTTAGTGTGCTTTCACTTATTACAAGTACTGGTAGTAGATGCTAGGCATTTACTCATGGATGTTTCTGATGGAATTGCTATTGATTTTGTAGAAATACAAGACTGAGGTAAATGGGATTGCTAATGATCTGCCCCCCTTCTATCAGCACAAAATAATTTAGCTTTTCTTATATTATTCAATACAACAAATAACGAATGCTTTGGAGTAGGAAAACTTTTAGTATTCAACATTTGCATTAAACTTTAAGTTATCGTTTTAAATACAATATATATAAAGGCTGGAATACTTCAAGTTATTTATATGTCAATCTGGTTCTTTGTTAACTTTGATGGGCCAGCTGGAGGAGAAATAAGAATTCTTGTTAAAATTATCTTAAAAAAAGATGGACAAAATTTTCTTTAAGCATAGAACCCATCACAAAACAAGAAAGAAACATTTTATAAACAAACTTCTTACCAAACTCTTTATGTATGTTTGAACAGAAAGATTGTGTCGACAAAGATTTGCCAATAATCCTAGACAAGGCATTGTTAACTCATCTTCAGAAGACTGACTGTGGTTTTAAGAAAAATAAAAGACAAAAGCATTAAATTCATTCTAAATTACTCAAAATTATATAGTAATTTACACATTTAAATTCCTTTTTGAATGTTAAATGAAAAATCTGATTAATATGTGAAGACAGGCAAGCTTTGAATAGTACTGCCCATTTATTTCATGTTTTGGAACTAAATGATCCTATTCAACTGCAGCATAGAAACAGGGAAATAATTGTCAGTGACCATGTGCTATCTCATCAGCATATTCTCCTATCAAGATTAAATACAGACATACAACTTTCAATGTCTATAATTTTTTCTGTTCAAGTAAATTCATTTGATAAAGTTTTGTTATGAAAATTAAAGCTGCTTTACACCATTTGATCCTAAAATTATCTAAAAGTAAACAAAAATCAAACTCTCACTCAGTTTAAAAAGTTGGAAAAAAACTAAGAAAAACTGAACTATTATATGGTTTTAGTTTAAAAGTAAACCAATAGATTATTTGGTTACATGTTTGGTTGCATACTCACATATGATCTATCAGGAATGTAATTAGTTCATCTATATTGGCACCAGATTGAAAAATTTTGACGTTATATGTTAACCTCTGCAGAAGTTGAATGCACTGAGAATAAGAAAACAGTAATAAATACAAACACATAAAAACATTGCATGCTCACAAAAATGGACTCCTGTACATATTCTGAGCATGCCACCATTTCAGGAGGCAGAATTTATAGCAAGAACTTTTCTATTTCTTAAAATGGTTCTCTCTCTCTTTTTTTTTAAACACAAAGTAATGAGACTACTAAAAACTTTAGGGTTCATCTCTTAATTCACACATTCCTATACATTCTGTCTTAAACAGAGTATCTTATCATCAGCCTGTCACTCAACCATCTTAAACTTATATGCAGGTTGAAATAAATAAATAAATAAATACATAGGTATATTCCATCAATTCTAAGACATATTTTTTTTCACATTTTACCACTCTTAAAATTGCATGTCAGTTTAATTGGCAATACTTTTCTATCTTAAAATTGCATTTTAGGCTCAATAAAATATTATGGATATAAGAGCTTTGAGTCTATGCTAAATAAGACCAAATCGATAGCTTCATTTTTTTGTAGAATGTTTCCTCAACAGATTGAGACAAGGTGTCAACTCCAATTGTAATTTTAACGTGAAAGCTTATATCTCAAAATGCTGACATCTGTTTGTAAGTCTGCCAAAGCAGTTATAATGTAGATTTGTTTTGCTTACAGTAATAGTGCTAGATGTGGATAAACTTCCCTTCTTTAGAACTTTTAAACAGTAGTACATGTGTGATCAACCAGTTCTTAAATTTATTAATGGCAAGAACTGTACCTAATCATGCAGTATAATGCCAGCATATACACTATAAGTTAGCAGTTTATAATAGATACTATCAATTTTGAGCTGAAAATTAAGACAGGAGAACAAGTATTAAGTGAAAAGTACTGTATGATGTATATATACCTGCAAAAACACTGAATCACTGTGGCAAGTGTTGATCCGACAAATCACGCCTGCCAGCACATTATTCAGGTTATATGTATTCTGAAGACAGTCTTTGGTTTCATTGTCTAAAGCTGTCAATTAAAATAAAATGGCACAAAATATATCATTTTTATATATGGTCTTCATGGATGAATAATAACTGATGCTAAATTGATTTCCATATTAAATTTGCCATTATATGAAAATATCAAATATAACATGGCTATTTTATTTACAAATACTTTCCAATTCAGAAGTTTAATCACAGAAATTGTATGAGCTGCAAAAGGGAAGGGAATATGAGCTTTTTTTTTTTTTTTTCCCCAATAGACAAATGATTTCTCTATGTGGACAAAATTAATCTCAAGGAAAAAAACTTGCTTTACTTATTTGTAGAAATTTTGCTGTCAAAAGATTATCATTTCAAATTTTTTTTTGTAGTCTGAAACTGCTCTAAAAATAAAACCCATTAATTAAAAAATAAAAATTTAAAAAGCAAATATAAATAACATCACTTAAAAAACTTCTAATCTATTTAAATGTTGAAAGTGACTGCCATTTTCATACAAATAGTTGGTGTATGTTAGAATTAGCACAGCCTTTTTGTAAAGCAATTTAGTAATGATTATCAAATTGAACAATGATCTGAAAATTCTACTGGAAATCTATTCAACAGAAATACGCAAATATTTGAGCAAAAATACATAAAAATGTTCATTGCATTATTAATTCTAATAGCAAAAACAAAAAAGAACACACATGAGTATCCACCATTAGTAGAGTGACTGAATAAATTATAATACTGTACTACACTTCTGTGTAGTACAAGGAGACTATTAAAAAGATATCAATATGGAATAGTATCTAAGATACACCAAGAGGAAAAAAAAAGTGGTAACTCCGCAACACCATTTTGTTAAAAATAACCAAAATTATTTGTTAATTTATTTTATCTAAAATTATTTGTTATAGCATAGAAAAAGATCTGGAAAGACACGTATCAAACCATTAAGAAATATTCCTAATATCATCCCCAAAAGTAGAAATGGTGAGGGTTTGTGATAATGAGTAAAGAGTCACTTTATTTTACTCTCCATACGTATCTCCACTGTCTAATTTGGTAGCCACTAAGCCACATGTGACTATTTAAATTTTGATTAATTAAAGAATCAGTTCCTCAGTCTACTACTCAAACTTCAAATGCTCAATAGCCCTATGTGGTTAGTGGCTACTATACTGGATAACACAGATACAGAGCATTTCCACCATCAAGACAGTTCTACTGGACATGCTGCTGTAATCCTTCTGGATCGCTGGGGTTTTTGTAAAGAAACATGTATTAATTTTGTAATCACACACAGAAATACCTTCCCTCCACCCCCAAACAAAAATCAAGAAAAAAAAATACTTAAATGAAAATTTAAAAACTAAAGACAAGGTAGGAAAAAACAGAAAAAGTAACACCTGCATTTTAGCCCTTAGCTCTAAGTTCAGTGTAGCCTATCAAAAAAGGATGATTTTTTATTTTTGATCACTAGCTATCAGTTTTCTGAGTGGTGTATTTAACACTGGCGTTATGTACATGCTCTTTTTTAAAATTCAAAAGTAGGTCAGCGTTTCCCAAGGAGCATGCATTCTTTTGTGTAGAGCACTGCAGTTTTGATATGCTTCAAATTCTTTGTCCATAATTTTAAGAAAGGATGCATACAAGATGCCCTTTTCAAGAGATCCACAAAGAAAAATAGTTCTGAAAGGACCTGCAATAAAGAAATCTTTTGAATGTGAATCATTCTCTGAAAGATTCTATACCTAAATCTGCCCCTTAAAAATATTAAATTCATGTATCTTCTAAAAAATAAAAAAGAGAAACTAAATACATTACCTAGTTGAGACAACAAACTGATAATACTTAAAATCAGTGGTGCACTTATGTTTGGGTCTTCAAGTAGCTCTACAAGGCAACTCAGGCATTCACTTGGTAATATCTGATTTGATGTAAATAATCGTGTGAGCTTCTGTCCAGAAATTACCTACAAAATAGTAATTAAAATGTGTTAGTTAAAAATTGGCAGTTTTCATCCCTTTTCCATTTTGAATAAAAACTTAGTTCTTCCAAAGTGCCACTGCCACTCTTTCCCAGCTTAGAAGATTCATACATGCTGTTCCCTCTGCCTGAAGATTAATTACCTATCTCTTTTCTCACTAAATAATGTAATTGTTCAGGTTTCAGTTTTAAAGAAGCTTTCTCTAATCCTCATCTACCAACTAGGTTAGGTTTGCCTATTACACTATCCTATAGTTCATTATACTTTTATTTCATAAACTGGCACACTTTTGATGACCTAGTAATATTTATCTTCCCTACTATAAAGGCATAGACTACAAATAAACACTCTACTACTAATATATTTAATTAAAGAATGAATTCCAGTACACTCATTCCACCTACTTTGAGGGAGGCAATAGAAAGTAAAAAGTAGCTAAATCCTAAGGCTTAGCTATGGGATTAACATCCGAATCACTTCTGTTCCCTCCCAAAGGCAGTAGCTGAGTCCAGAAGTTAGAGATTACAATTTTTTTTTTCTTTTAAGCAGCCAGGTTAGGCACAAATTTTATTTTTGGTTATTCCACTTTTTACTCCTCTGTTATAACCTTACAAACCACCCTCCCCCTTACCCCTCAAGAAGGCAAAGCTGGTACTGAAGGCCAAAAACAGTTGGCAGACAGCCACGTTATTTTCAAAATGTTTTGAACGTTATTTATTATTAAGCAAGTCTATTCTATAAAAATGGAAGAACAAATAGTTACTTTAGAATTAGATTAAATCTCTTCTAAACGTTTTCATTTTTAAAGGATTAAGTCTAAGCAGGCTGTTTTAACATCCATCTAATTTTTCCTTTCTGTGTCCCTTTTATTCTCTCACCTAGAAGTCAGTTTTTCTTCTAAAGCTTTGCTGATAAGAGAGCTTCAGAATATCTTTTCCCAAGAATTATGTGTCTTAATATTAAAGTAAAAGTCTGTAAGACTGAAAAATAGGTCCAAAGGTGAAATTAGTAGATATTTTGTGGTAAGGAGCCTTCTGAACATTGCGATTTTGCCTACTTATAAAACTAGCCCTCTAGAAGATTAAGACATTTTCTGCTTTAAATACAATTTTGCTCAAAACTGGACCTGTATTTCAATAACATAAGTACTCTAACATGTAATAATTATTTATTACAAGGTAAAATTTAAAATTGCTTTACAAATTTCCTTCTTTACTCATACCCATTGAATGTTTTATGCAAATAAAATTTATTTTAGTAATAACTAATACTTTAGCATTTACTCTGGCCTAGACATTGTTTTAGGTACATTATGTTAATTATTTTCATCTTTATAACCTGCAAGATAGGTGCTAACTGTAGTGCAGATGAGTCAACTGAGGCATACACTGAGATAGTAGCAAAATTGGGATTCATTGTTCCTGAATCTATGCTCATAATCATTACGTGAGATTAGTGCTATGAAAAATCATCAAGATTGAGACTGGTTCAGCTCTGCCATCATAAAACAATTCAAAGCTCAGATTCTGCATGGGACTATAAAGAAAAAATATAGAAGTGCAGCAGAATAGCAGAACGAATAATCTCATTTCATAGGATAATCATCTCTCTTCGTATCCTCAAATGTTGCTCTCATGAGGTCTGCACAAAGATATTCACCATTAATATCATCACCAAAATGGTTAAAATTTAAAATCTGAAAACACCAAGGATCAGTGTGGATGAATGACAGCAAATTTCATACACTGCTGGTGAGAGGGTAAAATGGTATAACTTATGAAAAGTTGCTTGGCAGTTTAAACTAAAACTGAACATAAACTGTAAGGCTTATAATTTCACTATTTATATAAAAGAAATGAGTGCACATATAGCCACAAAGAGTATAAAAATATTTATAACAGATTTATTCAAATTCTACCCAGAACTGGAAACAACCCAAATTCCCATCAACAGGAGAATATATAAACCGTGGTGCATTTATACAATGGAATTCTACATAGCAATAAAAAAGAACGAAGTACTGGCACATGTACAACACGGATGAATTTCCGATTATATTGACTGAAAGAAAGCAGATACAAAAGTGCATATTGTATAAGTCCACTTATCTGAACTTTATGAGAAGGGAATTGAAAAAAACTTACAGAGGGCTGGAAATGTTCTATAGTATGATATGGGTGGTAGAATATATTGTATATATGTGTATATATATATATATATATATATATATATGTTAAAAAAACCTATCAAGCTCTTTACTTAAAATTAATGCGTGTTATGCATTGTACCTATGTTATTGCTCTACGTGGTAGATTGTTTTTCAGTAAACCTCCTAAAAGTTTGGAACACTATCAAGAAGCCACTCTCTAAGCCTCAAATTTCTTTGAAGTCTCCTTCAATTCATAACACAGTAGTTAGATTCACAACATACCTGTTTATTCTCAAAGAGAGGTAATGTTTCAAATTAATATTAGAAATACTTAACTCCTGCATCTCACATAAAACTGACAGCCCAGCTCATTCTGTGGCTTCTGGATCCATTAGCACACTGTTCTATCTTAATTAAGAAGCAAACATTAGCATTTAATAGCTAACACCCTCATCTTTATTAGGTTTGCAGAAATTTGTTGAGGTAATGAACGAAAAAGAAAATGTACTTAGGTGATGAGCACCTGAAGTAGTAAGACTTAGGTGAAGAGCACCTGAACCAGTGAAGCTTGAGACAACAAAGACACATTTAAAGCACTCCAGTTTCACCCAAGACTGCTGTTGCTGTAACATTCACAATCGTCTTCTCTTTGTAGTATTTTGCTAATCTTTGGTAATTTACCTTTTATTATTGGATTACTATAACAAATAGAATATGTTTTATGTAAATATAAGCTGTCACCGAGAATTAAAATAAGCCTTGGTTGGGCTTAATTATTTTTTTATTAAACTGAGGTTAGTTGGAATTCCATCAATGCTTAACAAATGACAGCGGATGGAGAGCAAAAAAAAAGTTATAACACAGAATAAGTACTCTAGACACAAATCAGTGGGAACTAATAAAAAAATAAGAAAGCAATTCAGTATTTTAGGACTGAAAAACTGAGTAATATATTTTGGTAAAGGAAAAAGATTGATTACTAATGAGATTGCCTCTTAATCCAGAGAAAAATGAAGTATATTTCAAGTTCGAGGTCAACATGAGTTTAAAATAAAAGCAGGAAGGAACAGGCACGAGGAATAAAACAAGTTTTTATCATCACTCCCCATCACCTTCACCCGAGAATCACTGTATATTGTCATGGCTCTGTTACGATGGGGGGGAGGGGGGCGGGGGAAGCAAAAGAAACGATACAGCTTTGAGCTTTCTCCTCTACCAACCCCAAACACAGCCTAAATTCCCCAACCTTTTGTCCCAACCCTCCTCTTCCCAGGACTTTTCAGCAGTCACGCGTCCCTCCCGTAGCAGCCAGCTGAACGTGGAGGGACTAGGGGCGGGTAGAAGAGGGTGGGAATTCAAGGGTGACACTCACTCGCCTCCTTTACTGGGACAAAAACACAGCTGAGGAAGGCGGGAGCTGTCCTTTCTACCCTAGGCTGGGGCCGCGACACTCCGGCCGCACGGTGACCTAAGTGTTACTACAGCGAAGCCCCTCACCTCCAAGTGCCGCAAAAGCTGGGTAGCGTTCGCCTCCGACTTTACGGCTTTATACTGACTGATGGTCAGGAGCAAGGATTTCAAGCAGGCGGTAGAGTCCATGGAAACCCGCCACAGCCCCGCCAGAGGGCCACCACTACCCTCCCAGGTCGGGTCTCCGGCTTTCGCCGCGCTTTTTTTGATTTTTCGACCCCACCCCCTTCGCTCCTAGAAGCTTCCGGTTCCGGTCGCGCTCCGGAAATCCCGAGGCACCCTTGGGGACTGATTGCTGGCCGTGACCGGAGGGGAGCGAGGGGAAGAGGAGACGAAGGGACGGGGGAGTACGGGTAGAGAGATCGAGGCGCTTGATAATTCTGTGAAGTGGGCTGGGAGCTATCTTTTCAGACCTGAAAAGCCGCGAGGTTTCAGCTTTGAGATCCCGTGAAGACGAGAATCTCGCGAGAAGTGCAGTTGCTGCTCCACCTGTGAAGGGGCGGTTAGACGCAAGGGGTCCTTGCTCATCAGTGCGCCCGGTTTTCGTTTGATTCTTCGGCCTTCACGCTGGATAGCCAGTTTTTCCTTTGCGCATCATCCTCTACCCGAGAAATGGTCGCTTCCCCCTAGTCTAGACACGGTGAGGATCTCTGAGGAGGAGAATCTTGGGCTCTAGTATTTGAAACGGCCTGGGGAGGGGTCCCTTTATAAAAGCTTGTATGTCCACCCCTTCTACCCAGGAATGTTTGTTTCTCAGAGTAAACCTGTGGCCGTTGGGATTTTATGGCAAGTTAGTCATGCGTTAACGATAGTCGTTGTCAAACTTATTTGAGAAAGCTACCCGCGGGTGACTCCTGGGCTGGGTATTGCTCCGGGACTGTTCTTATTAGCGTCAGTTTTTGTAAGTGAAGGTATCTGTTTTTATTTGGCATGCTTGATTGTTATATAAATCGCGGTGTCCGTGGAAATGGCACTGTCGTTTACGGCTTATGATCAGAGATCATTAATATGCATGTATATGTCATTAAATGAGTCGAGTAGCTGGTTCTGGAGCTTTTTGCTTAACGTATGCTACTGTTGAATAAAGATTTAAAAAGCAGTTTGGAGAAAAATTTAAGAATAGGGTACATATCCTTTTAATTAAACCATTTGTCAGAAACCATGTTTTGTCAATTCAAAGGAAGTATTCCTTACATCACTTTTTAAAGGCAGGACTTATTTTTATATTAAAATCAATTTTAAAAGTAAATACGAAAGCTTAAAATAATCTAGCCAATTGAGACATACACGTAAAAATCATTGGGTAATTAATGTATTTATGCATTCATTCATTCTGTAAACAATTATTGAATGTGTAAAGTGGGCGAGACATCTAGATGTCACTAGTTAGGGAACAAAGATAATGTAGTATCCCCTGTTACGAAGGAACTGTCTAATAAGGGAAACATGCTAAATGGTACCTATGGAATTCACATAAATTAGGGGCACCGTGCAGTTATGGTAAAGAGTGAAGTTGGGCGGTCTGCTTACACATCCTACCTCTGCCTTTTCCTATTTGACCCTAGGCAGATTCTCACTGCTTCCATCTCTTCGTAAGATAAAACCAGGCTAACAGTAATACCTGTTGCATAAGATTGTTCAGTCAATAAATAATTAGAACCTACAATGTGCTAGGCACTGGTCTAGGTACTAGATTCAGTGAATAAAGTAAAAATCCTACTGTCGATAGAACAAAATCTTACCATTACATTATCTTAGGGAAAAGAAAAACTAATCAACACAATAAGTTAAGGAAACTGAGATGGAGAAAAAAAATGCAGCAAAATGATTTCTCTAATGTAATGGTGGCTGAGAAGAAGAGAAATGGGAGGTCAGGATAGAGAAAGCAACATTTGACGAAGTACTTCAAGGAACCATACTCTCTAGTGGAAAAGATTTCTAGAAAGAATAGCAGAGGTCCTGAAATGGAAGCGCACCAGTGTCAGAAACAGCAAGGCCCCCACTGCCACTGGAGTTGAGAAAGTAGTAGAGATGAGATCACAGGTGTGCAGACAGTTGCTTGGCATTATTATGTTCTCAGCATGTGTTAGTGAGACCTTAGCTCCTTGGCAAATGAAGTGGTAACAGTTTTGTAGTGTGAGACTGTTCATTAGTCATTACAAATGCGTCATCATCATCCCCATTTTGAGCTGAAGGAAAGGGTCAAAGCTACTTGCTGTAAGTGCCATCTTTCTTTGAACTTGCATTTTAACTTAAGCAGTCACACAAATTTTCATGTCTTCCATAAAATTTTCATTTTAATATGAAATAACATCTTTCTCAAAACACCAAAAATTGATGTAACCTTAGTAGGGCACACCATGATGATAGTTGTGAGAAACCCTTACGTCTTTCATCAGAGATAATTGCATATGGGAAACACAGTCATATTTTAAGCCTCAAAAAGTGGGGAAAGTAGGAAGAGATGAAGCTGGGTCCAGATGACTAAAAGCCTTATTAGCTTTGAGCTTGGACTCCATCCAGAATTCAGTGATGACATCTTGTTTTAAACCGGGGTCTGATCTATTATAGTTAGGTTTGTGCTTTAGATTGATTACTGTGGCAGCTGGATGGGCTGTGATTTTGAGAAAGAAGACTAGAAATATGGAGGATATTACATTTGCTGGAGTCTTTCCAAAGGATAACTAAGATAATTGAAGTGGAGATAGCAAAGAGCTGACAAATTTGAGAAATACTTCTGAGGCGAAATAGGCAAGATTTAGTGATTAATTTCAGATATGGATAGGGATGAAACTAGAAAGGATTCCAAGTTTTTAGTTTGAGTAGTTGAGAAGATACAGATACTGCTAAGTAGTTAATAAAAAGTATTCCGCTTGTATTTTATATTCAATGAAATTTTATATAGTTTTTCATACAGTCTTGTACCATTCTTGTTAAGTTTATTTCTGGGTGTTACATAATTTTTGTTACTGTGAGTGGGCTCTCTTTTTCCCCTATAAATTTTTAATTGTCATTGCTTCTATAAAAAAAGATACTGAGTTTTGGTATATCTTTTATTCAGCCTACTAAAATCTCTTATTCTAGTAGAGTTTTGCTTACTCTCTTAGACTTTCTAGCTATATGTCATCTGCAAATAATAATTTCATCTCTTCCAATATTTGTTGTTTTGCTGTATTTCATTAGTGTAATCTCCAAATCATTGAATAATCATGGTGATAAGTGAACATTTTTACTTTAATTACTTAATAAATGGAAATTACCAGTATTTTAACACTATAATTTGTGCTATTGGTGTGTGATAAATATTTTTAAAATATTTAGGAGATTGCCCTTTATACCTGTTTTATTTAAAGATTTGCCAAAATGTCTGCAAAAAAATTACCAAATGTTTACTTTTACCCTATTTTGCCATGTATAATGTGCACCTTTTTGCCCAAATTTGCAAAGGAAAAGTAAGGATGCATATTATACATGGGTAGTACTAATTCCGTATCTATATAAATTGTTTTTAATTCTTTTACTTATGCTTATGAGTTAAAGGTGTAACTCTAGAAATCAATAATGATATCCGTATGCAAAATAATACCCTGGAATATGATAATCGGTTTTGTTGAGCTTACAACGAACTTGCAACAACAAAGTGTTTTTGGCTTTTTATGATGCGTAAATATCATAAATTTGTTACCAGTACATAACATTTCTTGTACCATAATATGTTAAAAAAATAAGTGCTAAAATTCCTTTATAATACAAAAAACAAGTACCTAAATGTAAATAAATAAAAATTTAAATTAAAAAATTAAAATGAAGATTTTTTTTTCCCTGAAAGCTTAGGCCAAAAATGTGGGTGCACATTATACATGGGAGTGCATTATACATGGCAAAATACGGTGTGTATCTTATTTTCTCTTTAAAATGATAATGCAATGGATTATGTTGCTTTTGTTCTTGGGGTAATAATAGCTAACACTGTCTGAGCATTTGCTACGTGCCAAGCACTGTTCTAAGAACTTTATACTTACTACTTAATCTTCATGACAACACCATGCTTTAGGTACTGTATGTTCTCCATTTTACAGATGAAAAAACTAAGAAGTGTAATAATTTGTTATCACAACGGTTGTAGTAACAAACCTATTTGCTATGCTGCAAATGTTTTATTCAGGATTTTATATCTATGTCATGAGAATTTAAAAAAATTTTTCTTTATTCTCTCTTTTGGAATATGGGTTATGTATTACTTTTGAAAAATGAATTGGAAGTTTTTCATCTTCTGTGCTGTAGAATAATTAGGTCACATAGGAGTCCTCTGATACAACACCTATAAAATTAAGCTTGATAGCTTATTTAGTGGTTAGAGCTTTAGAAAATATTTGTATATGTAATAATAGGATTATAGATCTGATAATTTTTCTCTCTTTTCTCGAGTTGATTTTGGAATTATGTACTAGAAATATTTTGGCATACCAACTATTTCTGTAGATTTAAGAAATTATTGATAGAGAATTGCATCAGTATTCTAATAATTCTCTTAATCTCTTATTTGTAGTTTTAAATTTCCTTTTTCATTCTAACATTATCTTTTTTCTTAATTGGGCTTTCCAGCCATTAGTCTATTTTATTTGTTTTTCAATAACCATCTTTGGTTTTATTCTTTATTTCTTTTTTTCAAAATCACTAATTTTACTTTTATCTTTATTAATTCCATCCATATGCAAACATTTTTATTTGTTCTTTTTATAGTTTTTGTAAAAGTTGAAGGCTTTGTATATCTCCATACAATTTTTTTTATGATGAACATTTGTTTTATGGCCCCCCCCAAAAAAAAAATTAAAGACAGTAGCTAAAGTGAGCATCTGCATTTTATGAGTCAGGTAAATATATTTTTTAAATGCTAATTTCCATTCATCAAATATTTGCAGAGTACTAGTTTTTTTCAAAGAGCTTAGAGTCTGCTGGGGAAATTGACAAGCCAGAATAAGTGCTTTAAGAGAAATAGAATATGCATAGGAACATCTGATATTTTTTAGGGCAAAATATTAAGTATCCAATTTATCAGGGATTGGCATAAAATTCCTGTTCTCCGTACATTTTTATTACTGTCTGTTCTTTATATTTGGCATAGGTATTTTCTCTTATTTATAATTTGGGAAACACATTTAATGGAGTTAAACAAAAGATGTTAAATCTCTTACAACCTAAGTTTAGGGCTGTCTACCTCCTTTATTTCTTCTGAGAAAACTTAAAAAAAAATATCTTCAATACTGAATAGTAAAATGGAAATTTTTAATGTCTCATGACCAGATTTTAGTCATATTAGATGAGTCAGACTGAATGAAGATATGAATTATATTTTTTAGAGAAGAGCAGAGTTTGTAAAATGCTGAATATTGTTATACAGGAATTATACCAGAGTTGTGAACAGAGGGCTACTTGTTCATTTGTTCATCCACTATATATTTAATGAATGTTTGAGTGGTAGGTACGTTGCTAGGTTCTGGGGATACAGCAGTGAGTCAAACAGACAACACATTTCTACCCAAGTAGAGCTTTTATTTTAATTGGGGAGATAGACAATAAACAAGACATGTAAGAAAAATATATGAATGTTAGTAATAAGTGCTATGGAGGAAATGAAAG